TTTTTTTTTTTTTTTTTAAAACATCTTTATTGGAGTATAATTGCTTTACAATGGTGTGTTAGTTTCTGCTTTACAACAAAATGAATCAGTTATATGTGTACATATGTTCCCATATCTCTTCCCTCTTGCGTCTCCCTCCCTCCCACCCTCCCTATCCCACCCCTCCAGGCGATCACAAAGCACCAAGCTGATCTCCCTGTGCTATGCGGCTGCTTCCCACTAGCTATCTACCTTACGTTTGGTAGTGTATATATGTCCATGCCACTCTCTCGCTTTGTCACAGCTTACCCTTCCCCCTCCCCATATCCTCAAGTCCGTTCTCCAGTAGCTCTGTGTCTTTATTCCTGTCTTACCCCTAGGTTCTTCATGACATTTTTTTTCCTTAAATTCCATATATATGTGTTAGCATACGGTATTTGTCTCTCTCTTTCTGACTTACTTCACTCTGTATGACAAACTCTAGGTCTATCCACCTCATTACAAATAGCTGAATTTCGTTTCTTTTTATGGCTGAGTAATATTCCATTGTATATATGTGCCACATCTTCTTTATCCATTCATCCGATGATGGACACTTAGGTTGTTTCCATCTCTGGGCTATTGTAAATAGAGCTGCAATGAACATTTTGGTACATGACTCTTTTTGAATTATGGTTTTCTCAGGGTATATGCCCAGTAGTGGGATTGCTGGGTCATATGGTAGTTCTATTTGTAGTTTGTTAAGGAACCTCCATACTGTTCTCCACAGTGGCTGTATCAATTTACATTCCCACCAACAGTGCAAGAGGGTTCCCTTTTCTCCACACCCTCTCCAGCATTTATTGTTTCTACATTAATGTCTGTTCATTCTAATGATACCTCTGAAAATGTAAAGTTGTCAGATTGCATCCAGCAATCCCCAAATTAATTGTGTCCTTTTTAATAAAGACTCGAAATATATTTACCTTCAAGAGTAAATATCTGAATCAGCCTTATGGCTTCCTTTTCCTAGGGGAGACTGTTTCTCTTAACAGATGACAAAGCCTTGAGGTGAGAAACTGTCTGAAACATGAAGAGAACTTCAGGCACTAGTAAAAAGACTGTCCTTGTCTGAAAAATCATATCCTGTGGATTACTGAGTTTACTGTTCAATTTATCTACCACTAAGGCTGTCGTTTGCTTAAGACCCTATCGTGAGTATGGGAACACCCTTCAACAAGGTGATATTTAGGATCAATTTGTTTCAAAGTTCACCTCCTCCAGGAAGTCCTCCATGATAAATCCTGATTATAATGTCCTTATTTTACTTCTAAGCACTAGTGCATTAAAAAATAAATACAATGGAGCACTTGCTAATGTATAACTATGTGATTATAACAATTTATATGAACTTTGTAATAATTCATAAAAAATGCACAACCAGGGTATAAACTTCCCTACCATCTGTAATCTACATTTCTTCTTATATACCTCTAAGAAATCACACAATAATTACTCAGATACCACTCATTATTTTTAAGTATATGAAGATCTTCAAGAAACCCTTAATTTACACAAATCATACAGAATATGCTTTCCATAATTTTCCACTCTGTCAAATGGACATCAGGGTTGATGACATTTTAAGTAAGAAACACAAAGAGATGAGGTATGAATCCAGATTCTAGGTTGGGCTCATGTGTACCATCCTCAGTAGAGACGTGATTCAGATACGTCCCTCGGCAAAGTGATAAATTACTACATGCCATGACCTCTCAGGCTACCTGTTATGTTAAATTTGAGAGAACTAATCTACTGCAATTAAGAAGGTCCTGATAAAATGTGAATATGTGCCTTTAAACCACACGAACCTCCCTAAGCTTTGCCACGTAGTTTTAAGCAACTTATTATTATGAATACTCATAAGCTTCTTATACAATAGTTAATCCTCTTTGAATTCCTACTTATTCTCCAGCTAGCATTGCTGCAGAAAGGCTATGCAGAAAATGGGCTGCAGAGAAAGGATGTAATGATAAGGAAAGGATAGAGCCAAATGCAAACCACACATAAATATTCCAAAGCCACTCAAATAGGGAACCATCAGTTTTGTCCCAGTCAGACCCAGCCAAGTCACTTTAACTTAAAAAACAAACAAAAACCAAACAAGGGCTTCACTGGTGGCGCAGTGGTTGAGAGTCCGCCTGCCGATGCAGAGGACACGGGTTCATGCCCCTGTCCGGGAAGATCCCACATGCCGTGGAGCGGCTGTGCCCGTGAGCCACGGCCGCTGAGCCTGCGCGTCCGGAGCCTGTGCTCCGCAACGGGAGAGGCCACAGCAGTGAGAGGCCCGTGTACTGCAAAAAAAAAAAAAAAAAAAAAAAAAACCCTCCAGAGGTATAGCCATGAAATGATGGGAACATCCACATTGATTAGCTGGGTTCTTTTTATATGTCTTAACCTGTTGGTCTTGCTAAAACATATAATACTAGTCCAAATAATTCATAAATACCTTTCTAGTTTGAAAATCTTATAAATTTTATCCACTACCATAAATGTAAGTGATAATTTTCTCCCCTTATTCAGAATAATTTCTGTAATATATAGTAAACTTGATTTTGTTAAATATTAAGCATGAAGAAGATTCTGGAATGCTAGTTTCCACGTTAAATATATTACTGTAGTCTATCCTCTTAGCAAGCCAACTCAAAAGAAGATATAATAAACATAGACATTAGGATTAAACAGTACTATGCTTAGTGTTCCAAGCCCTCCATTAGACACTGTGATTGCAAATTATAGATCTTATGTGCTCTCTTACAACAGCTTCTGAAAAATTTTAATGTGGGTTTAATATATAAAAAGCATCTATACAAAAATCATACCCTAAAATCTAAAACCTTACAGTGGCCAAGGCTTTGTTACAGGACTTCAGACTGTGAGTAGACTGAGTTTTTGAACTTCCTCTTTGAATATTTAATGAAATAAAAATTTCGTATATATTATAACCTCAATGAAAGCAGTAAGAGCAAAATAAGCAAAGAAATGAAATGCCACCTACTGTCCTTCTAGAGAAGTTAATTTCTTAGCATCATGGATTACAGGATTTTCAGTATCTCCCATATTTAAGAAGAAATGGAAAGATTATATTAAAAGATTGAAAATGAGCACTCGTTTCCAAAAAACTCATGGATTTTTTTATACCTGTTGAATATTCTAATTACTTGAACGATGTAAGGAAGAAACATGTTCAAGCAGACCTGAGCTTGAATTCCAGCACCGCCACTTA